CACACACACACACACACACACACACACACACACAAACACACACCACATGTACTCATGCACACAAAAAGTATGCAAGAAAAGAATGGCTGGTGGTTATGAGGTTTTTAACTTAGGTGCCTAGTTGATAAAGAGGGACAACTATCTCAAAGTTTGTATACTCTCATGGTTATTGATGTATATAAAATATGAAAGCAAGGTTTGTACAGTGTTATTAGGGGAGGAATAAAGGACAATGTGTGCCTGAGGGAAATCTATTTTTAAGACAAGACAGAGTCCTTAATCTCACCTATTTCCTTCCGCAAGTACATGGGTACACTTCCTTTTCCTGTCTGTGGAATGACAAACAGGAGGTAGAATTAGCTTTCAGATGTGTACACATAGGTAGTTACAATCTCCTAGGATGGGACCTTCTCTAATGGCTAGAGAAGGACTATGAAACTGTAAGCCAAGAAAGAAACAGGTGTAACTAAATGCAACAAAATACTTTTAAAGTTAAAAGGCCAAAGAGGAGGTTCCAAGTGAGCTGGCCCAGTAGAGCTAATAGGCAATAGCTGCTGCACCTGTCATAGGTACCCGGCCTTCTTCTTGAATTCTTTATCATCTCCACTGTACAGCGTGGAGGACAGCGGCCAAGGATGTCCAGCTAATAAGGGGTCAAATTTGAACTCGGCTATAAGTAATTTGCAGTATTAGCTTTCCCTCCAGGGCCAGCCACAACCAAGACATTTTAAGTTAAGTAATACACAGCCTTGCCCATCTCATCTTGCAAAGAATGGAACATGAAAGTAGCCTTGGAGAGTGACTTACTTGGGGAAGGCCTTTCTAATCATCCTAGCTCCCACACAGAGTGCCAGGCTGCCCCTTCACCACTCACCCCCAGTAGAAGATCCAATAAAGTAGAGAGGCAAGTAATGCTCTCTTTTCAGCTGACTTCGTTCCTAACATTCCTTTGCAACGGGCGACTCTCCAAGATAAGTTTCTGTGTGCAGCCTGAGCACAGAGGTTCTGAACAGTTAACACACAGGTCAGAAAGGGTCCCCAGGCTTCCCAGCCTCCCTCTGGTCCTTCCCACCTTCAGGTAGGATGCAGAGACAGGTACCTCCTTCCTTCCCCATGGCCACTAGCTGGTGGCCAGATCCCAAGCCTGCGCCTCGCCCGCCACTTCCGGAGCCCCCTCTCCAGCGTGGCCACGGTGAAAAGCGAGCGACCCTCGGCGCGAGCCACACACTCACGCGCTACCGCTTGTTGCTCCCCGCAGCCGCGACGTGGGGAAGTGAAAATGAAATTGACTTTTCCGAGAAATGATGAAAGCCGCGCTGCCCGCCAATGAACAGCGGCGGCGAACTTCCGCACCTCCCGGCTGGCGGCTGGAGCCCTCCCTCTGCCTCCACCTCCGGGTTGCACAAGCTTGAAACAAACGCTGGGGAGGAAGGGCGGGGAGGGAGGAGGGCGGAGGGGGAGCGAGGGAGGGAGCGGGGCCGGGAGAGGGCGGGGGTGGGATCATTTCCAGCCTCGGCTCCTCGCAGTTTCCTCTCCTTGTTTTGCTTTCGATCTGGACTGTTCTCAGGCGAGCCGGGGAGTAACTTTTAGTTTTGCTCCTGCGATTATTCAACTGACGGGCTTTCATTTCCATTTTACACACCCTAACAACACTTACACCTTGCGGGATTGTATTGGTAGCGTGAAAAAAAGCACACTGAGAGGTAACATTTTTTTCAAATAATAGTTGTGACTGTGCGTGTGTTTTCTCTCGAGGGCATGTTGATGGGGACAGGAGGAGCTCTGTATGTATGTGCGTCCTGATGCTTTGACACGATGTTTTGCAGACGGAAAATGCCGGGGTTCATAAATATTAATACCGATTTTTGGAGGAAGAGTCGGCGCAGTTATGGATCATCTGATTTTAGGGGAAGCAGGGTCTGCTGCTGTTGCTGCTGGTACTGGGGCTGCTGAGGCTGCAAGGAGGAGGAGGAGGTAGAGAGGGAGGAGGAGGTTAGTGGAGGTTTAATTTCACTTTTGGATTTGCAGATGCGAAGAGGTGGCTCCATGGACACAGATCTGCTCTGTGTGATTCTGCGCCCCAGGTGTCGTGCGTTGTGGGTGCAGGTCCGCCGGAGTCGGGCCTCATTTAAAATAATATTGGGGTGCGTGTGTGTGTGTGTGTGTGTGTATGTGTGTGTGTGTGTGTGTGTGTGTGTGTGTGTATATGTATGTATGTGTGTGTTTA